TATGTAACAAGTACGTCATGAAGATTTTCATTATCATCACTCACAGGAACCTCAGAGTCTAGAATAGAACTCTCAGTTCCAGAAGTATATTTATGATCAGAGACAAAATAAAAGTCACTATAGTTCTTAATTTCAATGTTTTTAAAATCAATTCAACTCTCGACTATATTAATGTTATTAATAGATTCGACATGTAATGTGAGTCAATTTCTTCATTTACAAGTACATTGTTTAAGGCTCGAAATAAACATAAATTTTAGTAGTTTTAACAATAACAAGATAATAATGAAAACTAAATATAATGAAAAATAATAATAATAAGAAAAATTAATTTTTATTAATGAAAAAACAGGATAAAACTTATTTAGAAAAGGTAATATTCTTATATTTCTTAAACTTTAAAGAGTTAATATTCTTATCCTTTCATCAAACTACATTTGTTGTATGTAATTTTTTTACTTGCTAGCTCATTAATCTCATATAGTTGAATGTTTGTATATAATTGTCATAATTAAAATCATACAATTGAATGTTTGTATTATAATTAAAATCTTAAAGTTAAAAGTCTTATTAAATAGTAATAATTAATAGTCATAATTGCGCTAGAAAATAAGCTAAAAACAATTTTTGGAAAAACAGTAAGAGCATTTGTTGGCCTTTAATAGCTATGGTTATTTAGACTAAAATAAAAAATAGCTTAAAATAAAACCTAAAAATAAAAATTAGGTATACCAGGTTTTTAACAACAAAATGTAAATGTTAAACTTTAGTTTGCAAAATAATGTCAATTGTATTTTTTTTTTCAGTTCATTAGTTTAACATTAAATTATTAAGTTAAATAGATTATGTTAACTAAAACATTACTAAATAAATATACAAATTAATACTAAAAATGTGAATATACAAGAAGATTACAGGTATAGTATATACTATAAATATATAAAAAGAACTGCTTAACAATTGCTTGCATTCTCTATAAATATTGTTTGACATTTATTTACCAATGGAGAGGCCTTTTCAATATTTGCAATATGATCTATACTTAGAGTTTTGTCGAAGACTCTCTATGCTTTCTATGAATTAAAATTTTAAAATACATTTTATTTTACTTACTTTACAATTTGATTTTTTTAAACACTTAATGCATAGCTGATGCTTGGTGAAGACATTTGAAAAATTAACATTCCGGTTTCAAATTAATAATAACTTACGTTGTTTGTCAAAATATAAGGAAAGCAACCAGTTTATTAAAATTCATTTCCGCAGTTAATTTGATTTAAAATATTATACTATATTGCTCAGAGTGAATAACTTCAGATTCAAAGGGTTGCCATGGCAGCTTTATTTGCATGATCATTAGGTTTTAACACACTTGATATTCGTTTGTAAAATATTCGACATATTACTTCTTATTAATATTAACAAATCTGAACTTAGCTATAAATTTTGGTTCTGTTAAAGCAATATAAAATAGTTGCACAACCCTGCACAACCCACAAGCCTTAAATGAGATTAAAAGAAGAAAAATTATAATAATAATTACCCAAATACAAATGTTTTACTCCACCACTGATAATAATATGAAAATAATTTTCTGTGTAATTATCTTAGCATTAATTATCATATTTGTGTTATCAAAATTCAAAAAATTAAAATTTGAACACATTTAACCCTCCGTCGGGCGCAACTGATCTAACAGGCACATGCTTCATTCATTTGTAAATTTCTCCACAACGGAGCACATTTAACTCTACAACTTTCTAGTAATTTCCTGTTTTTATAAGACTTTCAAACTCTATTACTAAATTACTTTTCAGATAACAAAAAGAGTATTAATTGACCTGTGTGTTCTGATAGGCTCATTGCGCCCGATTAAGTCATTTTATTTTAGTAGGTATTTTCAAATTTTTTTTTTAGAATTGTTTAATTTGCGCATTTTAGATTAGTAATATTAATATTTTTAAAAATAAATAGAAAATCTTCAAATGGCCTAATATGCACATTGCGCCTAATTATGTCATAATTTATTTTTTAAAGAAAAATTTAATGGCATCTTAATTTGATGAACTAAGGACGTTACTTGAGGAAGAAGTTGAAGACGAACCCGCAGAAATAGACAATTTTGCAGAAGAAAGTGATATCGACTCTGAAGATGAAGTTGAGCAATGCATTCCTAATTCATAAACTGAGCAATCCGAAAACGAAATAGAAGAAGATGACAAAGAAGAAGGAAACTCTTTTATGGTCAAAGATAAAAAAACAGAGTGGCTAAATAAACCACTAAAAAAAAGTCGACGTCGAAAGTCACACAACATTTGCATTCATCTTCCAGGAGTTATTGAAAATGCAAAAAATGCAAAAACTCCATACGAATGTTGGAATAATTTTTTTACGGACAATATAATTGAACTGATTCTCACATACACAAATATTTATATTCAGTCTGTAAACAATAGGTTTGTGTGACAGAGAAATATTACATCCACTAACGCAATTGGGGTAAAAGCATTCATCGGGCTATTGTATTTAGAAGGAGTATAGAAAGCAAACCGAATGAGTTTGGGAGATCTTTGGGGGAAAAAAGGTGAAAGAATTGAAAAATTCAGTCTTGTTATGAGTCTCAAACGGTTTAACACACTTATTTGTTGTCTTCGTTTTGATGATCGAAGAACTCAAAACCAAAGAAAAGAAAACGACCGCCTTGCTCCAGTTCGAATAATTTTTGAAAAATTTGTTGAAAACTGGCAAAAAAGTTTTAGTCCAGGGGAAAATCTTACTATTGATGAAATGCTTCCTGGATTTCGTGGTAGATGTCAGTTTCGGCAATACATATCCTCAAAACCAAACAAATACGGTATAAAACTTTATAGTCTAGTTGATGCAAGAATGTTTTATACTGTCAAAATGGAAATTTATGCTGGGCAACAACCACTAGGCCCTTTTTGTTATAGCAACAAACCAAGTGATGTGGTGATAAGAATAGCTGAACCTTTATTTGGATCTGGTCGAAATATAACAGCAGATAATTGGTTTACTAGCTTCGATCTCATAGATAAATTAAAAACTATGAAGCTTTCATATGTCGGCACTGTCAGAAAAAACAAAAAACAGTTACCAATTGCATTTATAAATGTCAAAGGTAGAAAAGCAAAAACAAGCTTGTTTGGTTTTAATAATGATAAAGTTTTGGTCTCCTACATCCCGCGCGAAAGAAAGAACGTCATTCTAGTTTCAAGTTTGCACGATGATGATGCCATTGACGCTCAATCTGGAGAGCAAATGAAACCGGAAATAATTACTTTTTACAATCTTACTAAGTGTGGAGTTGATGTAGCAGATCAGATGTGTGCTTCTTAGAACGTAAGCCGAAACACCAGACGGTGGCCTATTGTAATTTTCTATACAATACTTAAGGTTGCAGGCATCAATTCACAAGTAATTTACATTGGGAATAACCTTGAAAAAAAAAGGAGAAGGTTATTTCTAAAAGAGTTGTCACATGAATTGATATTAGAACACCTACAGAGAAGAAGCTTGAACACAGTTGGAATACCTAATAGTCTACATATTAGGATGCAAAGATTCTGTCCAAGAATTGATCAAGAAAAATCACAATCTCCTCCAACTTCTAAAAGACGTAGATGTGTCACGTGTACTTTAGAAACGGGCGTAAGAAGGTTGTCTCGATACGAATGTCGAAAATGCAACCAATCTCTTTGCATGAGTCATCAGGTTTTAGTCTGTCAACCATGCTTTTCTTTGTGCAAATGCTTTAACATAAAATATCTAATTTAGAATAAATATGATTTAAGTAACATTATTGTGACTTACAAATAGATTATTTTGAAAAGAGTTGTTGTTTAGAATTAATAATATATATGGCTATTTTGGAACTAGATTGTTTTTTGATTTTTTACTTAAATTGTAACACTACTTAGTATTTGATGATTAGACAGACTTTTTTTTATAAAACATTTAAAATTCTATTTATAAACATCCCTCTAAAGGTTAGTAATTACTTTTGGATGGTTTATTATATTATGGGTTGTTAAAAACAACACTTTAAAACTCTGTGTCTGATACGCACATTGCGCCCGATTTCACGCGTTTTAATATTGCGCCCGACGGAGGGTTAAATGGTATCGAGATTAGTATTTATGGTTAATCTGAAAAGAAATGTACGTAAACACTGCTATAAAATATTTATTCAGAAATACAATACTTACTGTTAAAAATTTATTCAATAAGCAGGGTAAAATAAATATATTATTTTAATAATTATAATAATATATTTATTTTCCTAAATAAACCTTTTTAATCAAACATTTATTAAATCTTTTATCAGCAATTCAAAGTTTTAAATAATTGTGCGCTGTTTATTTTCAAATATTTTTCGAAAATTCCACGAACGTCTTTTAAAAGACAACGCAAACCTTCAAACTTAGCTAATTATCTTTTAACTTAACTTATTTTCTATATTTTAATACGTCATCATTAAAGAAAAAATAAATAATTATTTACGGCAGATTTTTTTATAGTTAGCAGAACTACGAAGGTTAATTTTTCTTTATTTTTTTACGTTATCCGTATGTTAGAATGTTAGGTTAATACTTTATTGTTTTTTTAACGTTGAGTCAACGTTAGTTTAACGTAAGAACATTACGTTAAAAAGATTACGTTGACTCAACGTTGAATTAACGTAAAGTAACGTAAAACGCAATTTTAACATAAATACAACGTTAGTACAACGTTGTGTGCCTGCTGGGAAGCAGTTTTGAAAAACAAGAAAGAATAGATATAGGTCTGTAGTAATGGTATAGAATCGTCACCATTTTTGTATACGGGGACTACTCTTGCTATTTTTAATTGACAAGGAAAAATACCATTTGTAAATGAAAGATTGAAGATAAACAAAAGAGGTAATTTAATAGCATCAAAAACAGCTTTAAGAACATTAACATTTTTTTATTTATTTTAAGCGCATTAAAGGATGCCTGAAGTTCATTTAGAGACAGTTCCGACTCATCCATTACAAAGTGAGTTTTTTTAAATAGGTTTGGAATGTTTTATTTCCAGGAATTATATCAGCTGCTAATTTTTTTCCTATGTTTATGAACAATTTGTTGAAGTTTTCAGCTAAGCTTTATTCTATTTGAAAAGTGCTTTTATGTAATTGCTTTTTCCCTGTAATTTCTTTCATTACTTCCCATATCTTTTTACTATTTCCTTTTGAATGTTCTAAGAGGTTAGAATTTTTATTTTATTTGCTATTTTATTCTTTCAAAACAATTTTTATACTTTTTGTATTTAATTTCATTGTATTTTTTTTTTTTTTTATTATTATTATTTTTTTTCATAATTTTCATTATTTCATTTTTGTATTTAATTTCAATTTGGAGGGCATAACAAAAATTGAACGTTTTTCATATAAAACAAGTAGCAACAAAAATAAAAATGTTAAAAAAACTAACTTAAACTATATTGTTTATCTATGCCCTCCAAAAATCTGATAAAATAGACATTCGTTTAAAAGCATGTAAAATTTCAACTATCAAGCATGTAGCTTAAAATATCAAAACTTGATTGGCCCAAGACAGGTTTTTCGTAAAATACACAAAAAACAGAAGTGATCCCAAATCATTAGCAATATTTTTACAACTTTTATTTTTATTCCGTTTAATAAAAATATTTATTTAACAAGGAATGATAGATGTATCATTTTTTTTTATTATTAAAACACAAAAGCATTCATACATATAAAAAAACTATTACTTTAAAGTTATTGAATTTATATACTTTATATGCCAAAGTTTTTAAGAAACTTTTTATGCGGAAATTGTTTTTGCTAAACTTCTGACGTAATGCCCAATTTTATATTGCCTGAAACAGCCGTGGAGTTATGAAATATTAGTGGAACCTAGTAGTTAACTACTAGGTTATAGCTATAATTCTTTACTTTTATTAAATAAACTAATTTTTAATTAATTTAACTAAAAAAAATTATCTTATTTAATTAAATTAAAAAAAAAAAAAAAAAAGATTTTACACAAACTTATTGTTTGGGTAAATTATTAGGAATATAATATTTATTGCAATATATATTGTATGAGTAAAATATTTAATAATAATATATATTCTGATATATCTATTAGTGATATATATTGTGATATTATAAGAGTAAAACATTTATTAGTAATATTATTTGAGTAGATTAGTAAGAGTTTTGTTAAACAAAATATTATATATATTTTAGATATTTACGTAAATATGTATTGTTGTGTTTCTCTAAAATAATTGCTATGTAAAACCAAAAATTGCATTTTTGTTTGAGACTTGTACATTTATTTTTATAAAAAAAATAAATAAAAATTTGTAACAAGCATTTCTAAATTTGTAATCAACTAAATACGCCGCCATCTTGAAATGCCAAAACTGGCATCAAAATATTTGTCGTATGCACTATCTAGTTATATTTTGAGATCAGTGGTCTTGAGAAGCAGTTAGTGCATGAAAGATGACATCTTTTGGTCAACATCTTTTGGTCTTTTTTATGCAACTTATAAATGTCTTATAAATGGTGATGGCTCTAAAACTGGAATACAAGAGTTTAACTTATAATTATCGTAGCGCAGTTTAAATATTGAGAAATAATTTTTTTCTTTTTTTATTTAATTGTTATGTTAGACTTTAAAACATAAAATCAATTATAAAACATTTTATTTCTATAAACTTTTTATTCATTTACTTCAGAAAACAAAACTTTCCTTTTTCACTCTCTAATTTAAAGTACAAATTTTTGTGCTGTTAACGCGCAACCATATACACTAACGCGCGCGCATTTAGAGAAGTTACTATAATATTTTTGCTACAAAAGTAAGAGTAATAAGGTATATGTGCTACTTTAGTATGAATAAAGCGAAGAATAATATTCATATTAATATTATATTATAATATTAATGTTACCATATGTTTTTAACTACCATAAAATTAATATTTTGAATAACTCTATTATCCTTATAATAACAATAATTAAAAAAAGTAGACTCAAATAAAGTAACGGAAATTATTATTTGCACAAACATATACACAGATATATATATATATATATATATATATATATATATATATATATATATATATATATATATATATATATATATATATATACTTATATATATATATATATATATATATATATATATATATATATATATATATATATATATATATATATATATATATATATATATATATAAATATATATATATATATATATATATATATATATATATATATATATATATAACTTTTTGTAAAACAAATATTTTCTGCGTCATAAATTAATGAGCGTATACACAAAAGTAATAAATATGGATTTTATTCTGATTAAATTTAAAAAAGATCAACCTAAATACATAATATTTTAAATGATATATAAGGAATTTTTAGTATATAAATGAGGAATTTTGTATTTGCAATAGTATCAGCAGTTGCATTATGACTTTCTGAAGCTTATAGATTTTATGGAACTTTATAGAACTTTTTAAATTGTACTGAAGAAATCTCTAAAGTTTTCTGGAGTTTTCTAAAAGTTTATAGAAATTAGCAAGATTTAGACTATATAGGCAGCCTTTTTGAGCAACGCTAATAGTTATGTATGAACCTGTATTTGCCTTACGGCAGTCAAATAATATAAAAGTACAATAACACTTGTATTTATAATTATTGCTTTTCAGAAATATATTAAAGTATTATCTTTAATCATAATGTATAAGAAAAGTTCTTGCATTACTGAAAGAAACAAAACAATCTGGATAAAGAATTTCCTATTATTTTATGAGCCACCTATAAAAAGGTGAACTGTTACTAGATTAAAAATCACTGGAAGATAACCGCAGTTACCATACTAAATCCATATTTGTTCTTGGGAAAATACATCAAAGGAAAACAAGAACGCATAATTCAAATTGAGAAAGTAGAAAAAAGTTTATGGCAAGAAAAATTAAGTTCTCCATTTATCAATTTAAGACGTACAATCAAAACTGGATCAAGTCCTAAAGACCTACAATATATGTGTAAAACAAAGAAAAACGTTCAATTGAATAAAGTTTCTGATAAGATAGGTAGATAGATATAAAAGATAGAAAATAGCTCTGTAGTGAAAACAAAAGATCGCAGTCAGATTAAAAGCAAAGGACAGGCCGGGTAGCTATTGTTCAAAAACTATACATCTATTCAAAAAAAGAAAAATGACATTGAGAATTACTTCAACAACAGTAACGGTAACAGCAACAATATCACCTTCTCAATCTGAGTCTGAGGCATAAAATCAATCTAAGACAGAGTCTGAAGATTCAGAAGAGAAGTACACAAATGCCAGTAGAACTAAAGCATAACAAAAATAACTATCAAATTAGTATTATCTTTAATATTATCAACTAGCAAAACAGCATTTATTTGTCAAAAAATTATCATAACATGCGACTGACATTTATCCCCTTGTCACAGTCTGGCATATTCAGATCAACTATTAAAGAAGCTGTTAAAATTAAAAAAAGAAAGGAAGAAAATGCAACGTTTAGAAAGCTGGTCACTTTGATGGTAAACTTACCATCAAAGGTAAAATTTACAAAAAAAATCAAGTGTTAGTGTTGATGAATAAGTATAGTTACAAAGACGAAATTTATTAGACTAAAAAACAGATGTTGTTAAACTTTTATCCATTTATATCAAAACATGTAAAGAACTACGAGTTGTTCAGAAAGAATTTCAAGAATAGTAAGATAATAAAGAATAGTAAGAAGTATAGAAAAGTAAGAGTAAGTTATAAGATATAAGAACAGTAAAAAGTATAATAAAATAAGAATAACTCGTATCTCAAAAATAGAATACAGTTTCTTTCCATTAATAGCACCAACTCTGATTTACAGAACTGCTCAAATGGCGTCCTACAAGGTTCAGTTTTAGGACCGTTTCATTTTCTTTTTTTTATTAATGACTTGAATACTTCTTTTAAATTTGCAACTGCTTACCATTTCGCTGATGATACTAACATGCTGCCTATACTAATATGATACTAACATGGTTGACAAATTACTTAAAAAATTCAGCAAACATATTAATCATGATCTTGGAAATCTTCTTCAGTGGCTTCGTTCTAATAAACTTTCTCTCAATTCTAACAAAACAGAGCTTATCATCTTTAAATCTGGCACCAATAAACAAGCACTTCAATTTTTCTAAATATTTAATAGACCCTATTTAATATCTTGAAAATAAAACTGATTCTAATCTTAGTTATTCTAAAACGACACTCTCCTAAATATGGAAATAAATCCATTAAATATCAATGTATTAACTCATGGAACAAACTATCTTCTGATCTAAAATTTTTTAATTCAATCTCTGAATTCAAAATCAAGCTTTTTAATTATTTGTTAAAAAAATACTATTAAATATTTCTACAAACTAATATTGACATTCTTTACTGAAAATATAAGTGTTCGCAATCCTTTTTTAATTTGATATTTTTAACATTTTAAAATTCGCTATTTATCTATCTACATCTAATTCATCTGGTTTTCTATCTGCCATTTTTACACTTTATTAAAAGAAAATTAAAGAGAAAATTAAAAGAAGAAAAAAAAAAGACATAAGCAAATGCTTTTTGAGAGTTTATTGTTATCTCTTTCAACTCATGATTTTATACAAACACAAAAACATTAACACCAGCACCAATAAAACCCTTGAAGAACCCTTACTATCAACCTCTCAAATGGTAAGTTTTGAAACTAGTACAAAAAAAGGAAAAAAAAATTATCACGCTTAAGTTAGTTACAGCTTCAGATAGATGTTAATTAAACATAAGGGTTTCTGTCTATATACTACAGGCTGTAGTAAGGGTTTCTGTCTATATACTACAGGCTGTAGTAGAAGCACTAGATCTGAGCTGTGATGATTTTTCAATAAACAAATCGTCCATTCAAAGCATTTGCACACAAAGTAGTCGAAATAGAGCGGATTGTATAAAATTAGA